AGGGGTTCAAATCGGAATGAACCAGTTCAAAGCCCTGCCCAATACCCAATAGAGAATATAAAGTAGTTTAAATGAAAAGGTCAAAAGACGCATGTGCTTTGGAGAAAATCGTTGGAGGGCTGAGCATTTTCTATCCCCCCACCACAAGGGTGGAGGGCCAGGGATCTTCCTTAGCTCCGGCCTAGAAAGAGGAGCTTCAAGGGGACCGCCATTCAGAGAGTTTGACTTGTATCCCCTACAATTTCTGAGAACACAGTGGCCTGGTGTCTGATTCCAAGGATGAGAAACCCAAGGTCGAGAGGCTTAGTCTGTCAGCCCAGCAGCAAGGCGAAGTCATGGGAGCCACATGGAAAGCAAGCTTAATTTCCACTGATTGGAAGACAAAGGGTCTAATGGGTAAGAAGACCAAAGGCAAAAGTCTGTGGCTGGTGCTACCCATGATGCAGGGCAGTCCTCCATTTGGCTTGGCAAGGAGCTGTGGGTTTCCATGGGTCAAGCAGATACCCTGGAGAGTAATTGTGCTAGAGGAGCCATGTTGATCTGACTTTGCCAGGGCAACAGAACCCAGTGTCACCAGCAGTAAGAAGCTGTGGAAGGCAAGAGCTAAGGTAGTGACTCAAGAGTAGAGGATAACAAAATACAAAATATCTGGACATACACAACAAGACATATGAATGAATTATCTCATATGTTGAAAACTAGAATACTCTAGATAGGAACACCAAAGAAAATTAAATGGAGACACATACCATGTTCTGAGATAGGAGCACTATATATTTAACTCCTCCCCGCCCCGCCCAAAAAAGAAAAACACTAAGACTTTGGGGGGAATTTTACCAAATAATTTTTTAGTTTATGTATAATACATATGTGTACATAAATAAACATGTAATAAAAGCTGAGACTATTTTGCGAATTAACAGAAAGAGCAGCAACTTGCTTTTACTTCATATGAAAAACATGTTTTAAAGTTATACCAGGTGGCATTGGCACAGAAATAGATCAGTAGAACAAAAGAGAAAGTTCAGAAATAGACCTTTAGTATATGATAAAGGTATGCTTTCAAATCACTAGGGAAAAAACATTCAATGAATATTAATGACAACTGGCTAAGCCATTTAGTAACAGTAAAAAAGGCACCTCCCACCTCATTCCTTATACTAAAATAAATTTCAGATTAATTAAAGTTTTAAATGTTCAAAAAGAAAGCTAAGCTAGGATTGGAAAACTCTTTTAAGCACGGCACCAAAGGCAAAATACATAAGGAAAAAGATTGAGAGATTTGATTATACAAATGTAAAATCTTTATGTGGTGATGTGTAACATAAGGTTAAAAAGGAAATGATAAACTAGAAAATTATTTGCAAAATATGACAGCTAAGAATTAAAATTACTATGACACAAAGAGCTGTTTCAAATTAATATAAGGCAAACAGGCTAAATGCTGAGAAAAAAGACAATTCACAGAGACCAAACAATTATAAATGGCCAATAAGCATGCAAAATAGATAATACAAACAAAACATTAAAACATTACTTTTTACCTGCTAGATTAATCAAGATTAAAAATATCAACAATAACCAGTGGTGTTGAGGGTGGGGAGGAGGCTTTCTGCTGGTAAAAGTGTAAATTGGTGTAAACTTTCCATAAGACTCCTCTGGCAATATGTAGCACAGTGTCAAATGAAAATATCTTTTGACCCAGCAATTTCACTTCTCGGAATTTATTGTAGTAATAATGGCAACATGGAAGATGGATGTGGCAGTCTGTGTACAGATTTGTATAACGATAGTAAAAATTTGGAGACACTCTAAAAGGACAATAGACAATTGGTTAAATAAATTACGGTACAAACTTATAATGGAGTCATTATTGACATGAAAATGTACCCAGGACATGTTGACGAGTGAAAGAACATTATAAAACCACATGCATAGTTTGACCCCATTCTAGTAACCCTGTGAGTTGTGCCAAAAAAGTATGGATCTGGACACACACACACAGACATCCATCACCAAAATGTTAACAGTGGTTCTTTCTAGCAGTAGAATTTCTGGAGGCTTTTACTTTCTTCTTTGTCTTTATATTCTCACCACCACCACCACCACCCCCCACCCCGCTCCTCCCCCCATCTTTTTCCCTCTCTCTCTTTCTCAAATAACAAGCAAACACTGCCTTCTTAATCAAGGGGAGACCAGTGGAGAACCATTTGCTTGGTTTCCACAGTATCTGATTTGCTTCATTGTATCATCCACCCACAAGCTTGGGCACAGAGAAAGACATACTCTTTCCTCTCCAGAATGGGGTACTTTAGTTTAGTCAACAATGGTTGTGGTAGGCAAAAGGTCCTTAAAACACTATTTGATTACTACTACTGGTTTTCTCTTAGATAGACAGAATGGAAAAATAGAAGGTTTAGAAAATAAGAATGTGAGATAAGCAATAAAAAGGGAGCATTGAGAATTCTTTTTTTACTTCCTTTAAAATCAGTTTAAATATTGACTCTTATTCCAAGGTAACATGGAACTTCAAGATAATCATTTTTGCTCTGGTCTTAAGTCCCAGCTGCAATTACAGGTCTTGTTCAGAGACTAGCTATTATCTATTTCCCTTAGTTACTTCATCTGTTTGTTTGGTTGTTTGTAGGTCCCTCTAGAAGTGATTGGGGCAGAGGGGTACCTTAGAGTGTAACAAGACACATATGCTATAATATTAAAGGCAAAGTTTAAAAAAATATTGTTTGGAAATTTAAAGGCCTAATTTTCCCAAGAAGCCAAAGGGCTAATTCAAAGATTAGCTCAGTAGCTAGCTCAGGGCCTATCAATTTCCAGGAAAATGAACTAGACTTGCAGTCAGTCAGAACACTTGGGCCCACAAATTCAAGTCATGTATCTGTCTGATCCCATTTCTCCATTCCTAAAATGGGGATTAATAACCCCTGACCTACAGCGGTTGTGGGGATAGAATGAGAGAATGCATGTGGTTGTACCTGCTGTACAGTTGAGGAGATAAACAGACACTAAGTCCCCGGGTGGTGCAAATGGTTAACACACTCAGCCACTAACCAAACGGTCGGAAGTTCGACTCTACCCAGAGGCACCTCAGATGAAAGGCCTGGTGATCTACATCCAAAAAATCTGCCATTGAAAATTCCATGGAGCACAGTTCTACTCTGCACACATGGACTCACCATGAGTCAGAAGCAACTCAGTGGCAACTGGTTAACTGGCAATGGGCACAAAGACATCAGCCAAGGGACAATATGCTTCATATCTGGGGGATCCCCCCACCCGGAGCTGATTCCTGGTCTGCAAGGGAGCTCAAGACCAGATCTCAGTGCTCACCTGTATACACTGTCAACATGACGGTTAACAGAGGAAAAATTCTTCCCTTAGGATCCATCTTTAGAGGGACTCATAATCCAGCTCAATACCCCAGTCTATGGCAGGCTACCTGGATCAGCCCTTTGACAGAAGGACCTGGCATTCGTTCTCTAGGAAGACCCACTATCAATCTCTTGAGGTCCCTTTCCCCCTCAACCAGGAATCCACTTGAGGAAAAAAAATAACAGTGTTGTGATACAGCTACCAAGTGAGTTTAGAGAACTTAAAGCCACGGTCATGCTTATGAGAAAACTATTAGAAAAGAGCTGCAGAGAAATGATGCATGCTCTTTGCAAAGGCTCAGCACCTGCTTCTGTTAAGTATTAACACTAAGCAACTTGGCATTCTAATTTAGAACATTTAGAGGCAGTGACAAAGTCCACATTTTTGCTATTTTAGTCATCTTTCATGAACTGTTTTTGCCTTTCTGCACTGTTTTCGGAAGTTGATATTTTGCTTAATATGTAGTCAGTTATTTTAACCAGAAACTTTGATACTAAGTAAGTGGGATTTCTTCCTCTCTATGACAATTATTCTAAGTTCCCATGTGGACAACTGTGGCTTCTTTCACAGTTAATTATAGGGCTGGAAATTAAGAACAAGGGTGGGCTACAGAAACATATGGTGTTTACAGAACTGGTGAAAAGGGGATGGGGAAGAGAGGGGGCAGAGCTCAGATTCTCTCTTTTGATGGAGAAGGACTATGGGGAAAATCCTTACCCATCAGAGGCCCGACTCTATACTAACCAAAATCATTTGTAATGATTCCGAATTTATTCAAGGAACTGTGAAAACAGTATGAGTTTGAATTGTCACACATAGAAATTAAAAAGTAGAAATCTCTATGTATTAATCTATGAAGAGCTTTCCTCTATAATCCACTAAGATGATTGCAGAGAGGGTTTCAGATGTTGATCCTAAGTTGTAGTCTGATGTACAACCTAGACCCTAAAGGATAATTATTTCCAATATTAAGAACCATCTTTCAAGAGCCTGAAAGCTAGCACTGAATACCCAAGTAGCAGGATATGCCTTCTGTCTATCTGACCATTCCCCACGGAGTAGATACACTCTGGGCCCGCAACCCCAGTGGGAAGCATGCACAGTTTCCACCTGTTGCTACTGTCTCCTCATCTGCCCACCAGTCCAGGCTACTCAGATCTGTCCCCCACTAACACTCAGGGAGACGGCAGAGAGCATGCCAGCCCACAGCATGTCCCTTCCTCTCCGGACCCCAAGGTTGCACAACTCTAAGGACACATTCACATATGCTGCTCCCTGAGGTTGTGTAACGTAACTATCATCTTTTCTCTTCCCTCATTCTTTTTTTCCTCCAAGCCTAGAAGGGGTGGAGAAGAGAGAGGAGAATAACACTGTGACTTAGAGAAGCCACAAGCCTCCATCTTGCTTTATTCATTCTGAGACTTGGGGTTAAACTGTCAGTTAGGAAGGAAAGCTAAAGAATACTGACTCAGACTTTAAAAGTGAAATTGAATCCACTCCATCTGTAAATTCAGCATATTGACAGTAGGCCCAGTACTGCTTACAGTTAATGTATCATGGCTCAGGTTGTAGATAAAAGGGATGATCATGTCACCCACCATTGCTCCCCTCCCTGCAACACACATGGACGCTGGCCATGGGCTCGATATTGTTTCAATCCACTGTTACTACACTGCCACTCAATCCAAATCTCTAAAGGAAGCCACTGAGCAGTTTTAGGATACCCTTAGCAATAAAAAATAATCAGGGAAGAACAATCTAAATTACAGAATATTTTTACTGGAATGCAGACTTATTACTTTTGAATATATAGGGCAATTGGAATTGAATCAAAGCAAGGCTGCCTAACAGAGATTGTAGAGAACTTACGGAGTAGCCAGGCTAATATACTTTCTAATTAGCATATCGATTAATTGTGAGGAAAGGGCTGCTTCTAAAGTGCTCAAAAAGTTTGCTCTTGTCAATGTTCTCTATCCTTTTCAATGAACTCCTTCATAAAGTGAAATTCCAGCCCAAACTTAAGTCCTTCTCAACACATATTATGAATGAATGGGGTCTGAATTAGTTAACAGAGATACTATAAAGGAGGATGCAGAGACTCTTACTTTCAGTGTCTAGGGGTATCACTCAGAGGAAGGCACAACACAGCCATGATCTGTACACTGTAGTCAATACTGTATTGTATATCAAGGGTCTCAACTTCATAGACACAGAACTGGTCCTGTACCAGCAATCCCTGAATTTTGTCCTTTCAGGAGATTCCATAGAGATGGCCACCACCTGGAATCCAGGAATGGGGCCAAGCTGGGAGTGGAGAAAGTTGCAGGCCCGCACACCTTGGGATGGAAGCCACATGGGCCTCTGCGTAGGCATCTGAGAAACTGTCATAACACCTGCCCCAGCAGCAGGACATCCTTCCCACACAGTGTCAGTCTGCCATCTAGACATGGAGGAGGAGAAACAGAGATGAGACAAAAATGGACACACTCTGGTTTCCCACTGTGCACCCCTACGTGCGGCTCATGCACACATCCATGGGAGGAGAAGGGTGAGCCGCACAGGAGATCAGCCAGCATTCTGTGAGCAACCAGGGCAGCCATCACCACTCCCCTTCCTACACTGAGGTGCAGGGTCAGTCATGCCTTTCACCTGCTGAGTGCACTCTGCTGAGTCCAGGACAACCTTCCACTCACATTCCCTTTGAACCCTCCTCAACCCCAGCTGTTCTTCATGAGTCCAATCCCATCCTCCCTCCATTCCACTCATTTCTTAGAGATGACAGGGTCACATACCACACTGCTGAGAAGGACAGGAATGCAAGAATGATCACAACAGCCATGGAGCCCAGTCCAACACCCACCATCTGCTGCAGCGTGAGGGATGAATCTGCAGAACAAAATCAGATGCTGAGTTGAGCAGATGTCACCAAATCATGGCTCTCCCAGGAGATACACACACAACTGTGCTTGTTCCATTGTAACCCAGAGCTTGGTCCCAATTAACCAGCAATCCTAAGAATGTCCAGTGTGCCTTTTGGCCCCATGAGCTGGCCCTGAGGATGCAGAACCTCAGGAAACCACAGCTCCAGGGTTTTTTCTGAAAAGGAAGCATAAAACCAGCCCACATTAAAGTTACAAGGGAGAGAAAATCTTGAGTATACAAATATTACATACTGCTGCACACAAATGCTACATACTGCATTGGTTTTTGTTGGTCCTCTCTCAAGTCAATTATACTTGATAGATTTTTTAGGAGCATTTGTCCTTAGCATTGACAAAGAAGTCATTCTGACATTATTTGAATTTCTGCTCCAAAAATGATAGCTAGCTCAGGTGGTCAAATATAGCAGAAAAATATCTTTTGTTGAAATAGAATCACCTTTCATTTTCCCCATACCTGAACAAGGATGGTACCACCCTGCTCTGCTCAGCAGGTTGCTGTGAGTATAAAATAAGAAAATTGATGTAAAAGCTCTTTGAAGGATGTATGTTCTATTTGGGGAGCATTACATGCCAACCCCAGGGAGATCCCTGGTTATAAACTCAAAAACACCCTCAGGGTTGCACATTTGGACCAAGGGACTGAGTCAGAGCACCATGTTCTAGAGTAGGAAAAAAGATCTGATTTTAAGTTGCAAACACTTGTTTAGCACTTATTATGTCCAGACATTATTCTAAGTTATTTAGTCTCCTAACTACCCTTTATGCTGGGCACTATCCTTATTCCCATTTTACAGATGAGGAACCCCAGGTATAGAGTGGCTAAAATTTACCCAACACTACCTAGCTAGTAAATGACAGAGCCAGGATTCACACCCAAGCTGTCAATCTCCAGAGTCTTGGTTCTTGAGCACAGCACCATGCTTTCTTAATGCCAATCTGAATCCAGCTCTACCTGCAGCAGAACAGACCGTGTCCCCTCAGAAGTCAAGGGGCTGTGACCCTAATACATCACGACATGTTTTCTCCCTTTCAAAATGGGTGATTGAGAGCTTCACATAACTGACGCCATGATGAACCTGTAAGTTTTTTTCTGCCTGTCTTCTCCTTTCCGCATACTTTTGTTAATGGCTTTATTTTGTTGGGTCCAGCCACCTGTGACTTACGACCCCCTACATAAAGATTGAGCCCAGATGTTTGGTCTGTAAATCTTTAGCCTGATAAGGAGATGTCTGGCATGTATCTCTTTAGTCTGATAGTCTCTTATAATTATCTTGTAATGAGTAACTCATCCAGCCACGCCATCTGTGGGCTATGTGCCTAAAAGACACTGTGTCCCACTTATGACAAAGATATATAAGCTCTAATGTAAAATTGCCTTTTGGGACTCCATAAAGACAGCTTGCACTGCTGTCGGACTCCCCTAAATAGACTCTCTCTCTTTCTGACTTGGAGTATGTTTCATTGGCTCGACTGCTCCAGGGTATGGACCCTAACTGGGTAATAGGGCCATGCCCAGACCTTTCCTGCAAAGGGTGATGATTGCAGGGCCTCAGGCTGTAGCAGCTCAAGTTTGTCTTTGGAAGAGGCAAAAATCTGTAGGCAATGGTTCTACCAGTCATTTAAAAAAAATCGTAGGGGCTGAGTCTGCATATATAGAATTAAAAATAAATACACCTCCAAGCCATGGAATAAGCGTAAGGAAGTACAGCCAAATCCAAATTATTCCAGATGATTTCTTGCTGATACCATTTCATTTTTCTTCATTTTTTTGTACCCTCCTTTGCCAATGCCCCAGGTATGTACTTAGTCTGCCCATGGGGTAATCCAGTACTGCCTTCCTTGGAAGAGCTGAAAACAGCAAATGCAAAGACCTATTACTGTAAGTTGTGGGTGAAGGAACACTTGAGAAGAAAAATAGTAGCCCCTCAACTTAAGATACCCTTCAAAACATAGGTAACGTGCTTTCCTGGCAGTGAATGAGGCACATCTGAGAACCATTCTAGCTATTTAATTTTTTTCATCATCTAATCTGCACTGTCCATATGGTAGCCACTAGCCACAGATGGCTATTTAAAAATTAAATTGATTAAAATTGAGTTACATTAAAAATTCAGTTCCTCAGTGTTATGAGTTGAATTGTGTCCCCGCAAAATATGTGTTATAAATCCTAACCCCTAAACCTATGGTTAAGGAGTCCTGGTGGTGCAGTGGTTAAGTGCTTGGCTGCTAAACAAAAGGTCAGTGGTTTGACCCCACCAGCCACTCCACGGCAGAAGGATGTGGCAATCTGCTTCTATAAAGAGTGCAGCCTTGGAAACCCTATGGGGTAGTACTACTCTGTCCTATAGGATTGATATGAGTCAGAATCCACTGGATGCGAGGTACCAATGGGTTTTATACCTGTGGATAAAATACCATTTGGAATGGGTTTTCTTTGCTATGTTAAGCAGACAGTATTAGCATAGGGTATGTTTTGAGTCAGTCTCTTTGAGATGTAAAAGAGCAGATTAAGCCGAGAGGGGAAAATAGATGCCATGCGACATGAAGATCACCAAGGAGACAATGAACAGAAGCTGGAAAGAGAAAGGACCTCTCCCAGAGCTGACAGAGAAAAAGCCTTTTCCGTAGAGTCAGTGCCCTGAATTTGGACTTCTAACCTCCTAAACTGGGAGAAAATATATTTCTGTTTGTTAAAGCCACCTACTTGTGGTATTTCTGTTATAGCAGCACTAGGTAGCTAAGACAGTCATACTAGCCACATTTCAAGTGTTCAATATACATGTGGCTAAACCAAACCAAACCTGTTGCTGTCGAGTTGATTCCAACTCATAGTGACTTTGCAGGACAGGGTAGAACTTCGCTATAGGGTTTCAAAGGAGTGGCTGGTGGATTCGAACCGCCGACTTTTCAGTTAGCAGTCGAATGCTTAACCATTACACCACCAAAGGCTCCGTAGACACGTGGCTAGTGACTATCATACTGGACAGCACAGATTTAGAACATTTTTATCATTGCAGAAAGGTTTCTTGATCGGTGTTGGTCACATCTCTACGACCAGGTTAAGAGCAGTTTGCTTCTATTGGAAACTCCATAGAGCACTTGGCACCAGCAAGAGCAGTCATGGACACACCTCTGGCTACATTTTCAGAATAAAGGGGCCTTGACACTTTAAGCTGACTTAGGAAATAATATTGGAGTTATTATTCCCTTTCCTTGAGCACAGAGAATGTGACCCAGCTGGAGCTGGGCTCACAAGGACTCACAAGGACACATCAAGTGGGCCCTGAGGTATAAAGACAATAGCTAACATAATCTTGGAAAATATCTTTTAGGGAAACTCACATAAAGCCAATAAAACACAATACAAAAGACTTTCCACTCTTACTTTTTCTATTAGCACTTAGTGAATAGAAATTTGTTGCAACAATGAAGACCCTCCTGACTGAAACCTGTACTAATGATAGTAAGAAAGACAATTCAAAATGTAGGATCACAGTTTCTAGCCAATCTGTGAAAAGACTGAGCTTTCAATGGTTTTGCCCATTTGTAATGTTAATATATACTGATGGCTCTGTAACTGTTCTTTGGACTCAGGCAGATACGGCTGTGGCAGCATGCTTGTCCGATTTCCCACTCTTGCCTATTCTGTAATATACTTTGGACTCGGGCAGACATGGCTCTAGCAGCATGCTTATCCGTTTTCCCACTTTTGTCTGTTCTGTGATATTTCCTTGGACTCAGGCAGACCAGGCTCTGGCAGCATGCTTGTCCGTTTTCCCACTTTTGTCTGTTCTGTGATATTTCCTTGGACTCAGGCAGGCATGGCTCTGGCAGCATGGTTGTTCGTTTCCCATTCTGCCCTTTTGAATCTATACCGAATAAAACTTTCTTTTTGCTTTACTAGACTTTGTGATGTTTTTCCCCTACAACAAAGCTATGGGAAAGTTCTACTCTGTCCTATAGGGTCACTATGAGTCACAATCGACAACGGTAACAGTAAGTGGACGCTTTAAGAAGCTAGGTGTAAAATGGAAGGAGGGTGTGTGATTAAATTAGAAATTAGTAAAGAAAAAAACGGGAGAGTGACTTGAATTACTATATATTATAACAGTATAATATCAGTATAAGAATTAATACATTGGAACAAAATTAAAAGTCTACAAACAGACTCAAGCATAGCAAATAAACTCAAAGGTTGAACACTGGAGTCAGGTTGCCCCAATCTGTATCTTCACCACCACCACTCCCCAGTTTTGTGACCTTAGACAAGTTATCAGACATTCTGTGCCTTAGTTTCCCAACTGATGGATGATATGATGTGAGAATGATAACAAATAGTACCCACCTTATAGAGTTATTTAAGAAATAAGCTAGTTAACACCTGTTAAAACAGAACCTGGTGTAGAACAAGCAACGAACAAATATTAGCTATTGCAATTACTGTTGTTTTATTACTACTTCAAATCACTGCGCAAATGATACATTATTTATAATTGGTGCTGAGAAAATTGGCTAACTATTTAGAATAAAGGAGCTCTTGTGGTGCAGTGGTTAAGTGCTTGGCTGCTAACTAAAAGTTGACAGTTCAAACCCACTAGCCGCTCCATGGGAGAAAGATGTGACAGTCTGCTTCTGTAAAGATTACAGCTTTGGAAACCCTATGGATCAGTTCTATTCTGTCCTAAAGGGCTGCTATGAGTTGGAATTGACTTGACAACAACGGGTTATTTAGAATGATGTCTGATCCCTAGAGCTTATACCACACACCAAAATAAAATCCAGATGAATTAAAGACTTAAAATAAACCTTAAAAGAATTAGAAGAAAATATAAGTGAATATCTAATATTAGGGTGAATAAGAATTTTCTAAGCATATTTATTAATGCAGAAACCTTAAAAGAAGAGACTGATAGATTTGACCCCATTAAAAACCACAAATTTCTG